TGCATATTCCACTCTTATCTGAACTTTAGAAGAAAAATGATTTCAAAACATATGAGAGAGCATTTGAGTTTCATCTACAGGGAACTCCTATTTGTCTCGTTTACCATGTTGAACCTGAAATAAATGTTACGTGCCAAAGTTTGGAAGTTGTAAAATTTGAATAACATACTAATACTAGGTGCAAGCTCATGAGTTAAGGTATTGAGGGGTCATACTAACCATTTTAGATTTTAAGCTGTCAGCTTATTATCTTGGTTGACCTTTTACCATCATACGTTCCATTGAGTTTATGTTCTGGCATTTGGATGCCAACAAACAATGAACAAATACTACTTTAAGTGGGCACAAAGAACATGCTAATAAAGAACAAGGTTTGTCTTTAGGACTTCTAGCTCCAACTGAAAAAATTTTGTTTACTTTTTTAGCCTCTTAGCAGGGAAAGCATGGTCAGCATCTAACTCTAGAACAAAGTTGAAAATATCACAAATGTTGTCCCTTATTGTTTCAAGATATTACTGCTTAGGCAAAGATTCAATAAAAGGCTTTGCACAGACCTCAACAGTTCCACCATATTCATTAACAGCCATGTGAACCTTCTTCATCAGAAACACTCTAAGAAGATTCTAAACTGACATTGAATATGCAAAACCAACTTTCTAAATTTTACTGTATACTGTATAGATAGTTGAAGCATTCTATTTTTTCCATTTTCTTTTCCCCTAGACAATAACTACTACTAAAACAACAAATAAGTCTAATGAAACAGGATCTTCTGCACTTCCATTAATTACAAAAGTTAGAAAAGAAATGGCATCTTCACATAAAATGTGGAAAATAAGGTGAGAAAATGGGGTAATAGCAATTAAAAAAGAAAAAAAGAAAAAACCTATGCAACTACCTCAATCAACCAATGGATAGTGTCATGAAAAGCTAGAAAGTATCAACCCAAAGAACATCATTAAAATATCAACTAGAGAAAAAAAGTCAAGGGTTACCAGGCACAAAGTAGGCAGGTTTGTGAGCCATGTCTCCCATAGTAGAACTTTCAAGTTGCTCACCCTTCACTAGTTCCCAAAAAAAGAAATAAAAATCAAAGTGATTGCAAATCTGCATGCTATGATACTGACATTGTTGCATATAATTAATAAGAAAAGATCTAACGATGGAAAAAAAGGTGTGTCAAAGGAACAAATTGCCTGACCTTCCGAGCAAAATCAAGTACATCCATTGCATATGCAAGGCCAACTATATTGTCAACACGTTGCTCAAAAACGGGTACCCTGTAAATAGAAATCTTTTAACAAGTTTCTTGAAGGACATAAAGCCTTAGAGATGAATTACCAATTCCCTACCTTGAATATTGGTGAGTCACCCATGGATGGTTAAAATCAACAAGAGTTGCACTCGCATCAGTTGCAACCACATCAACAAGGGGTGTCATGACCTCTCTAACATGAGTATCCTTTATTTCTAATACAGTTTCAATCATATCCTGCAAGGAATTCATAAAATTAGAGCATTTGGACTATAAACAAACAGATAGGCGCCTATTGGAAAAAAAATTAAATTGGATTTCCTCTAGAATCTGACTATTTAAACAGAAATTGTTAGAGAAATATATGGCAAGAAAAAGATATGCTCTACTGTAAATGCACAACCAGAGTCAAGCATAGATGATACCGATCAATTTCATCTCAGTAAAAGAATTTTTCTAATTCTTATTTGCAACAAAAGAGACACTCAAGCAGGTACAATAGAGAAAAATTAGCTTATTTCACTACATGCTCTTCCTCCTCTGTTGCTCCACTCAACTCTGCCCCACGTAGCATCAGCTTTAATTCATCTTCAGTAACAAAAGGTTCACTAATTTAAAGAGAAAACATGCAAAGCATTCATAAAGCAGTCAATACAAACTTACACTAACAAACAACTGGAAACAAGAAATGCAATAGACGAAATGGAGGATATGATTTCCTTATTCCCATTAATAAATAAGTAACAATTCTTCCCACTAGATGTAGTATCAAGGAAAGCCATGCCACTAGCCTGACCTAATGACACATCAAATGGCATTAGCCAAGTAATTTTAGTTTGCTAGCAGTCATCAGCTAAGTAGAAAAGAATTAAATAGCAACATAGACCATGGAGTTTTAAAGAGAAAGTTAAAGTTTTTTAGCAAAGTTTTAGTTGCATGTTCAAGAAGAAAATGGAAACTTAAATGGAAAACTTACCACATATCCAGCCCCCTCTTTGGGATTGTGAACAGCTATACTTTTTGGAGTGATACCAGTAAGATGGAAAATAGCAACCTAGGATCATTCAGAAAAATTCAATGGTTATGATTTCTTTCTATCTTTTATGTTCACTTTTCTTTTTGTTTTTTTTTTTTTTTTGAAAGAGGCAAGCTTTTCCCATTGCATGTAAACAAAATATCTACAATAATCACCCAGGCAAACCTGGGTTTAACATATCACCTAATACTCAAAATTGCAATGGCAAAAAGAAATTCATTTTTTTCTTCTTTATTTAACAAAGGTGCTATGTCTTTCAGTATGCAGAAACACAGGTAGACCGGAAACAAATTCATTTAGGAGAAAAGGAAACAAAAAGTATTAAGAAGATCCAAGACCATTTGTCGTCGCTCTATAGGATAGCTTCAGATTAACAATTTCATAAGTGAGTTGAAGAAAAAAACAAAGAAAGGGAAAAAAAAAGGTAAAAATGGAAAACCCCCCTTGAAGGAAATAAGCTAAGCCTGTCATGTACGATATACAAGACATAGTTTTGATTTTCTAGTAAAATATCAACACCTTTACCAATAATATAAAGAGAGAAACATATGCAAATTAATCTATTATAAAAAGAATCATCGGCGCCCAAAGGTTTGGATACACACAATATCAAAAAATAAAATAAAACAAACCAAATAAAGAATGACCAGCGTGCAAGAGTTGAAATGCAAGTATCTATGTCATAGAAAGT